GTGTGGGGGGTGGGGGTCGGGGAATTGAGTTGTGATACATGATAAGGGGGAGAGGAAGAGGAAGAGGAAGGAGGGAGGAGAGGAAGGGGGAGACGCAAGGAGTGAAGGGTAGTGGGGAATAAGCAGGATGCACATGACAGCAAGCCTGCGGCTTGGGTGAAGTAGGAGCAGGATAAGCGCTAAGTATGGCCCAAGGCAGGGTGAAGGGCAGCTGAGAGAATCAGGGGGAGGAGGGAGGGAGAGGAAGCGAGGAGGTAAGGTAAGGGAGAGTAGGAGCAGCGAGGAAAAGCTGAGGCGAGAGTCATGGATGGGTAGGCAGGGAAGAGGTGGATGAGATGGGGAGGGAGGGAGGGGAGGGGAGGGAGGGAGAGAAAGGAGAGAAGAAGGGAGAAAGAGAAGGAGAGAGAGAAGAGAGAGAGAGAGTGAGTAAGGAGAGAGGGAGTATGAGAGAGATGGATAGAAGAAGGAGGAGAGAAGAGGAGAGAGAGAGAAGAGAGAAGAGAAGATGAGTTGAAACATAGGGGCCATGTATTTGTGGTGAGGTGTGGGCTGTGAGGTAGTCGATCGGTGCTAGGGGATGTTGGGAGAGTGCGGGATTGTGTAATATTGGAAGGTTGGTGGTATCAGGAGGGAGGAAGGAAGAAAGGAGGAAGGAAAAAGGGGAAGGGAGGGGAGTAATTTTTAAGGAAGAGGAGGGAAGAGAGATTGGAGTGTATGGGAGGTGGGAGATTGGGACTGGGAAAAGGGGCGCAGTAGTGAAGGGCCATACGATGGCAAGCGGAGTTGATGTACTGATAGGAAACTGAAGTAAAGCTGGATCATTAAGAAAACCACAGGAGGTTCAACAATTCACGGCGGAGTAAGTTATAATCACCAGAGGAGTCGGGCAGATGATGGACTGACGGCACTCATTCGGGCGCTGATAAATGGAGCAGAGGCGGGCGCCGACATTGACATGGACATTTCTAAAGACCGGGTATATAATGGAGAGATGGGGCTCATCATTAGCTAAGGAGGAGTCAGGGAAAACACCATCACACACAGCTCCCCCCCCCCAACTACCACACACACACACCGCCCTGTTACAAGAACTGGGCCCGCAAGCACAGCAGGTCACATTGAGCCAACACAATCAACCACCCCACACCCGCCACAAAAAAAAAGACACACAGAGAGAGAAGAGGAGAGATGAGAGAAGAGAAGAGAGAGAGAGGAAGGAGAGAAGAAAGAGAGAGAGAGAGGAAACAAAAGGGAAGAAGAGAGAAGAGGAGAGAAAGAGAGACAGACAGACAGGAGAAGAGTATTGTGTGTGTTCCTGTGGGAATTAATGTGATTGCGTTGCGTGAGTGGATGGTGAGTTTGAGTGAGTGAGATAGTGAGTGAGTGAATGAGACAGCAAGAAAATAAATAAGTGATCGAGCGAGCGTTTTCAACCTGCAACACAGACCCACGCTGCCTCTTTCTCCCCTCCCCATGAAAAAATAAACAAAACAGTCACAAAGCAGTCACAAAAAAGAGAAAATCCCCAAGAATACCCGGGTCCTGGGTACGTACCCACAGGCCCCACGGCGGAAGATAAACACGGCGACGACAGACAGACACCAGCCAGCCAACCAGCCAGCCCAGCCGCCCACGCCCACAGAGGCCCGGGCGTGAGGCGTGCTATAGGAACGAGAGGGCGAGCCGGGCGGTGCGGCCACTGGACTGTGTCAGGTAAGCTCACCCACCGGAAACAGGTGAGGTTTCCCGTCCGCGGAGCATCTTTGGAGGCAATTACACCCGTCCCGCCGTCGCCCTCCTCTCCACGGGGAGACTCGTCTAAACCAGCCGTTGTGAATAATTCGCATATATGGGAAGAATGAGAGATAAACTGGGAGATAATACTGACGGCACCATGCGTCTATATCCCTAAAGGCACGTGCAAGCAAGCAGCCAAAGTTGCACTGCCGGGGGAGGGGTGGGGCTGGAGAGGGGAGGAAGAAGGGAGGGAAGGAGAGGGAGGGAGAGGGGGAAATTGAAGCAGGTTGTCAAACTTACCTTAATTTTTCGTGGGCGAGGAGCGACTGGACACACACTCCTCTCGTCACGCTTGGACTTTTGTTTTCTTTTTTATTATATCACTGTTATCACTTAAAAGTAATCACAACCTTACAGAGGGCCAGGCCGGTGCTCCATAGCCTTAAAACTCTAAACCAAAGGAGTTTCGCACCGCAAGGCCCAGCTCAAATGACTAGGAATGGAGGAAGAGCAGGGTGCTGCTAACTAGACCCCGAGAATAAAACTAGCAAAACTTTCCACGGGTCGTTTTAATTAATGACGATTTCCTTTTTCTTTCTTTTTTTCTCTCTCTTTGCTTTCGTCGAGCAGAGTCGCTTGGTCTTCCCTTCCCTCTCCTACCGGGCGAAGAGATGAGGAGACTCACACACGGGCGTGCATGTCGAAAAAAAATGCAGCTGTGGATCAGAGTGCGGCGGTATATCCCCCTGACATCCCCCCGGGGAGAGCTAACGCCATGACACACCGACTCCGACACCAGACTGAGCCGAGCGTCCACCTCCGCTGTTGCCGATGTGCCGCTACACACCGCGCGCCCCCGCCTCGCCACCAATTCCTCTTTCGCTCCTTTCTTCCCTCGAAAAGCCGTGTCGGTGTGGGCAACCGTCGATCTCTTGGGCATCGGCGGGCGTCAAGGTGCGAGGCAAAATCCCCTTTCGGGATGAAAACCACCCATAAAGCCGCCCAAAAGTCGCTTCAGCGTAATTCACGAACCGGCAACTCGACTCCGGTGAATCAGCTGTCATTGACAAAACAAGTGAAATCCACACAAACGCTACGACCCCTTGCAACGCCCCTTTGAACGCAGCACCAACCCTCCCCAAACGACCTAGCTCGCTCGTCCAGCCCTGGCCATTCGCAAAAGATTTCCCCAATTTGCAAGACGTGTCCTCCGGTGCCACGGGTCGTGCGCCAGGCAGCGGCGACGGGGGTTTCGGCGTGAGTCATACAGCGCTGCCACGTCTCCTCCTCCTCCCGGTGCTCACGAACCCTTCAGCGTCACGCCTGGGCGGGCCCGGACGTCCTGCCGGCCTCCCTCCCTCCCACCCTCCAGCTCGTGGTGGGCGCGCACCTGACTTCGGCAGCCGCCTAAAAATTCGTCATTTACACGGGATTAAAACGTCCCGCTGTCGGCCCTAATCACCTGACTTCCCAGCGAAACGGAAAACGGGAAAGCGACAGCGAAACGACAAAAAGTAATTAGTGTCCATCCGAGATCTTATCACCTGGACCACCAAGCCGCCGCGACCACGACCTTCTCGAAATACCGCTCACAATACACACAAAAAACAACAACTGTTATCTGGATTCTTTTGTGAAAAAACAGATCGGAATAGAACATTTCTTAAAATAGTCTATTTAAACGGACGACATTATAGGCAGAATTTCAGTTTAATAATACAATTGCCAGTAATTCAAAATCGTGTGTAGGCATGCGCTTGTGTCTGTTAGTGATTTCGATGTATCAGTTGACTGAACATCTACTGAATGCCTGTATCTATTTCTATCTACATCTATCAAACTTTCTACTTATCTTATAAATAATAAATTAACAAATACATATATATATATATATATATATATATATATATATATATATATATATATATATATATATATGTGTGTGTGTGTGTGTGTGTGTGTGTGTGTGTGTGTGTGTGTGTGTGTGTGTGTGTGTGTGTGTGTGTGTGTGTGTGTGTGTGTGTGTGTGTGTGTGTGTGTGTGTGTGTGTGTGTAATGTGTGTGTGTGTGTGTGTGTGTAATGTGTGTGTGTAATGTGTGTGTGTGTGTAATGTGTGTGTGTGTGTGTAATGTAATGTGTGTGTGTTGTGTGTGTGTGTAGTGTGTGCTCGTATGCGTGTGCGCACACAAGCACAAGCACACGCACAATTGTATATATAATACACGCGCCCGCGTGTATTATATATACAATTGATAAGAGTCTAGTGTAACCAAGAAAGTCACGATTTTATTATTCCTAAGGCTGTTTTTCCTTTTCGTGTGCGCGCGTATGCCTTTGCGCCCTGATAGTCTTATGCCCTGTGAGTCTTTGTCTGTAACTGTATATATGTCTATCTATGTGCGTGTGCGTCCGTAGTAAAGTGAAAAAATAAGCCCAGCGACCGATAAGCTCTAACAGGCGATCGCCGAGTAACCACACCGCAAAAAAACCTAAGGAGTTGAATACCCTTGTTGCCACCATTCATTTTTCTGCACCGCGGGCTACCCGCCGGCCAATTCATCCTCTCCACGTGACAACCACTGGCAAAAGTAATAAAGATTAAATGTAAACTGCAACTCAATGTAATCTCTTGAACCATATCTCTAGGGGAAAACGGACCTGTATCTATCCAGAAAAAAGTCAGTCTGATAAAGTAAAAATTAAAACCAATGATGGTACCATAACATCAACAAACGTATGCTTGTATATGAAACTAGTAATGAAAAGACGACCACATACCTTTAAAAATTAACAACACGAGAACAAATGATACATAATTTTATTACCACTACTACGACTACTATTACTACTACTACTTAATAATAACAATAGTAGTAGTAATAATAATAATAATAATTATTATTATTATTATAAATGAAAATAAAACAACTATAAAAAAACAATAATAACAACAATAATAAATGATAACAAAAACTATAGTAACAATAATAATAATAATAATAATAGCAATAACAATAATAATAATGATAATAATAATAATAATAATAATAATAATAATAATAATAATAATAATAATGCTACTAATGATAATGATAACGATAATGATAATGACATAATAATGACGACGGCGACGAAGTTGTTGAAGATATGGCAATGACGATGATAATGGCGACGATAACAACGACAACCATCACAATAAATGCCACCAATAACGAGCACAACAGCAGTCACGACGACCACGGAAACCACAGCGACGACTTACCCTTGTGACGACTCTTCCATACTCAGAGTGACATCTCCCAAGGGCGGTGTGGCTGGTCTGCGGGGCGAGAGAAACAAACGGGCGTTAGGGCATGGCATTGTGTGCAGGATTTGTCATTTCCAGCTGATTGGCGAGCTGGGCAAATAGAGGAGGAAAGTATAGATGGGATTGGGAGGGAAGGGGAAAAGATGATGGACGCGGAAGAGGAGGAGAAGGAACAGGAAGACAATGGAAAGGAGAAGGGGGAGAAGGAACAGGAAGAAAAAGGGAAGGAGGAGGGGAAGAAGGAACAGAAAGAAAAATAGAAGGAGGCGGAAAAAGAGGAGGAGGAAGAGGAAGGAGATTAAAAACAAATTAAGTAGGGAGAAAAGAAAAACGAGAAGAGGGAACGTTGAAAAAAATAAAATAAAAACGCCGTGCCAATTCAACCAAACCAGGTGATCTGGATGAACTCTCTCAACAGCTCTTTCCCTCTCACTAGTTCGGAGTTCGGTCGGCCAAACGTGCCCTAAGCATCGGCTACCTGAACAGCCACGGTCGAAACTCCATGTCAAACGTATTCACGAATTCCGTTTCGAACACCTGCTTAATACCAATACTCAAAATGCTTTTTTTATTGATTTTTTTATTCATTAAAAAAAAAAAAAAATGTCCAAAAGCCCGACAAAGATTTGCAATGCGGTCTTTCCCCAACGTCACGCACAAAAAAAGACGTGTTGCTTTGGGATCACGGATTGTATCTATTAATTAAGCCTCGTTAAATGTCTCGTACTGACACCATAATCAGCAGGGATTGCAACCATCACGGCCGTTAAATGTCAGATATTCAATTGCAATATGGTTTGCACCTATCACTTTTTATTACTCGCATCACTGATATTAATTTGCAACAAAGATTTCGTCTAAGACGAACGACGAGGAGGAGGAGGAGGAGGAGGAGAGGAGGAGGAGAGGAGGAGGAGGAGGAGGAGGAGGAGGAGGGAGTAGGAGAGGAGGGGAGAGGGGAGGTGAGAAGGGAGGAGGAAGAATAGAGGAGGAGGAGGAAAAAGAGGGGAGTAAGAGGAGGAGAGGAAGAGGAGGGAGTAGGAGGAGGAAGAGGAAGAGGAGAGGGAGGGGAGTAGGAGGAAGAGGAGGGAAGAGGGGAGTAGGAGAGAGGAGGGGAGTAGTAGGAGAAAGAGGAGTAGAGGGAGGAAGAGAAGGAGGAGATGAATAGAAGGAGGAGGAGGAAGAGAGGGAGAAGGGGGAGAGAAATAGAAGGAGGAGGAGGAAGAGAGGGAAAGGGAGAAAGAGGAGGAGAAGAGGAAGAGAGGAGGAGGAGAGGAAGAGGGAGAAGGAAAAGAAGAGGAAGACTTTAAAGGAGGAGTAGTAGTAGAAAGAGAAGGAAAAGAAGGAGGAAGAGGAGGAGGAGGAGAAATAAGAAGAGGAGGAGGAGGAAGAGAGGGGGTAGGAGGAGGAGGAGGAGGAGGAGAGGGTGGGAGGGGAGGAGAGAGGGGGAGAAGGAGGAGAGGGGGGGGAGGAGGGGAGGAGAGGAGAGAGGAGGAGAGAGGGTAGGAGGAGGAGGAGGAGGAGGAGAGGAGGAGGAGGAGGAGGAGGAGGAGGAGGAGGAGGAGGAGGAGGAGGAGGAGGAGAGAAGAAGGGGTAGAAGGGGGATGTAGCTGTTGATGTAGCTGTTACTAGACGAAATCTACCACATGTTACATTTCATTTCGAACATAAAAAAGTAATGTTTACTTGTCTACAAGCATTACTCAACAGCTGGCAGCCTGCAACCCTCTCCATTGTGCTTGTGCTTTTGTTAAGGAGGCAGGACAGCCACATAATCCACTCCCACCCACGCATACAATTATAAATGTAAATACAAAATACGCTATACAATAGGGCGAAATGTATGCAGCTAATACAAACACAGAACCAAAAATGCACATTTCTTTTTGAATGCTAGGCCAGTGATCTTGGAGAAAAATATGCATGTACGAAAAATTACAACCTTGAACTTTCAACACTTTTGTTCTCTCTATTCTGCAAAAAGAAATACATTGAGATTCTGAGTTACAGTATGTTACACATTAAACAGTAAAAAAACATTAGCATTAACATTAAATGGCATTCTAAACCCCTATTAACCCACAACTTGTACAGACTTTTCATAAGAAAAGCTGCCATTATAGATTATTTGAAAAACCAAGCCATGTAAAAATACAAAGTTGTTATGAACTCTGAACATTAAAATACTTTATAAAGGCACTCCTTACATAGATGAAATTAATGACTTGTTTATGTAAAAGATATGTAGGTGCCTGGCATCTACTTGCTTCCCTAAATAGACATGAGTAACCCAACTTCCATTTCACTAGTTCTTTTTATAACAATAAGGTAGAAAATGTATAAACATAGAAAATCATATTTTCTTAAGTGCAAGTGTTCACAAACCAAGAACTCTGAAGCCCTACCATCACAAAGTATTAATTCCAAATCTCTGGAGTAATGGCTTCCACAAATGTAAGCATGAATTAAATACAATAGTCTACTGCAAAAGCCTCAGAAGGAAAATGAAACCTGTTAGACATAAATCATCAATACTTAAATGGATAAGGATTCTAGTTCTACTTTACAGCAATAAACTTACTCTTATTTCACCGCTTAATACATCCCAGAATAAACCAGAACTGGATCTTTCCTTTTTTTTCTTTTTTTTCAAAATAATTTTAACCCTGTTGGTGATTACTTATGGTCTGCAACATTATATGATGATCACAGCCCAGTGTAGGAAAACACCAGTTTATATCATTACAAGCAAATGTGTATGTTCTGTACAGTGAGTACAGTACTTACTGTACTTGCAAATAGTCATGAAGAATTTGTGTAGTTCTCATGAGTAGCAACAGGTTACCTTCATGATTTAAAAACAAAGTGGTCTTTGGAATAATCCAACTACCATAGGTAAGTTCTAGGGTAGCTTATCCATATACCACAAATATCAATATTGACAATATGCATTCATGAATTTTACCATTCACAAAAGACGTGCAAATATAATCTTCATGAATGGTAAGGGCAAACTGTCATCAATGAAATAATATAGAGCATATTCTTCAGTTTCCATCATTTATGCACACATTAAATCTAGATTGTATAGAAAACAAAAAAACATCTAACCATCCAATCTCATCTGAGGATTTTTCATTTGAAATTTTCGAAGACAGAATTCTAACAATCCATATATGCCTGACAAAAGCAGGAAGCCTGTTGGATACATTCATCTCATTATGCAAATCAGGCTAACAATATAACTGAATAGTCTGAACTGACACAGATGACAACTATTGTGTAGGATATACTAGCAGGAGAGGACTCCCTGAAGATTGTGGAACATCAAATAATTACAAGTAATTATACAAAACACACTTTAATGAAGGAGAATTAGAAAGCATCAGAGATAAAATAACAAAGGACAAAGAAAGAGTAAACTGCACAAAACACAATGACAATGAAATTATAAAAGAACTAAACACTACAGCAGTGGCATAAACTCATTATGAAGCCAGTGTTGAGAAAAGAAAAACATACTTGATTCTAGAGCAAACCCCAAATATTCATAATTCTTTGGTTCTCTAACAAGAGACATCTGATCTTCATTCTTGTATTCACATAACCCATGACATTTAAATCCCACTATTGAATAAAAACAATAATAATAATAATAATAATAATAATAATAATAATAATAATAATAATAATAATAATAATAATAATAATAATAATAATAATAATAATAATAATAATTAATTAATTAATTAATTAATAGTTCATCAAAATTCCTTATTCTTCTCACACCTTCATAATGTGGTATTGGGCTAGTATTTCTAAATAAAATATGGAAATTTGAAAAAAATAAAAAATAAAAAAAATAAATAAGTATTAGATGTTGAACAATGAAGTAAAATCTACAATGATTTTCAGAGAAGTTTGTGGTCTAATTTGAGACCCATCTTACTATTGCAGACATTTATCTATTTATCTATAGAGTATTTAATCTTCATAAAAGCATCTCACAAGGCATAAAACAGTGCAATACCTTTTTTCAGTTCATCTACCATATTACTTACTAGACAAACTATTTCTTAAATACTGAAAAGAAAAGGAGAAGTGAGGGTCACAAGGAAGGAGGTAAAGATCAAGGATGAGGATGAGAAAAGAGAAAGAAGGGAGAAGGATTGAAAAGTAATATGTAAATGGGGAAAGAACACACAAAGAACAAGATAAAACAGAATATACAGCCACTATAACAATAACAATTCCAATTAGTTACCTATGTTATGTTCATGTTAGGATGTGATGAATATGATTTGACTGACACTAAATCACTTTTTGCAATTAAATGGTACTGGTTTAAAAATATAGTTTACAAATTAGTAATTTCCTTATGACTTCTCTATATATATTTTCCCTAAATTTCTTCTAAATGGGGGCAGCTTAACCCCTTATCCTTTCATGTACATATACATGAAAAATTGTAAAAAACTATAATAAATTTTATTCATGCTGCCACTTCTCCTATACTTCCCACATCAATGAAAAAACACTGTACTTAATGACCAGGTTATCCTATATCAACCAACTTGGATCCACAACCCAGGGACACTATAAAGCACCCCTCAGGATATACAGGGATGAGGCAAGAGAAAGTAACACAACATATGCTAATACTCATGACTCATACATAAGCTGTGTCTGCAACAAAGAGTATTACGTTTATCAAACAACCAATCACACATTAGGTGAATATCAAGCTTTCATTATATACCTTTGGCCACACTGTGATTCCCTAACAAACATGCTAGACATGTAAACAAGATGTCCAGGCCAAGCCACATTTCTCTCTAGATGAGTGACTGGGGTGAGCTCTATCTTGCCATACATATACATTAGTATTGGATGTTTGCCATGCATCAACTGGATACAGACAGCACTGAAGTCAATATCTTAATCAATTTATATGTTTAATGTGTGTGACATGATGAAGTTTCTTATGTGTTATAGGAGAGCATTGATTTTAATATCTACACATTCCTTGCCTTTCCCAATTTTTTCCAAACCATTTTCCATTTTTTAATTAAATGAACTAACAAAGCCTAACAAACTAACCTCCACCAAAAATTTCAAGCTAAAAAGTTTTGTCTGAATTCTTATTCATTGTTAAATCAACAGCAATATCAACAAAATCAATCTTGCCTGGATCTAGTTGTTGGAGGCTTGTTGATAATTGCCAAAAAGAGACTATTGCTTGACATAGAGATTGGCAGGTCCTCAGCGGTTTCGACTTACGACATTTCATGGATACAACCCTAGAAATCTTGTACCGTATTTACAGTTTGTTTTTCATGTGTTCCTTTAGCCCTAGTTGTTTTAATGTATGTCATACAAGTGTCTTGATATGTTTTAGACTATAACTTTAATACATGTATACATACTGCATCAACATATGAGAGTGATTTCAGTGCTTATGTACAAAAGTACATGTACTGTATTTAGGTGCATTCCAACTTAAATCAAAATTCGGATTACTACGCCATCATAGGAATGGATCTCTATCGCAAGTTGAGGACCCCCTGTAGGCTCACCTTCACTTTGCACATATTATTTGTTATAACTGATAGTACTCTTTTTAATATTCTTCATGACCATTAAAATTCTTTTTCTAATGGTTCTGTTCTATTAAATATCTGTGCAGTATTAGCTCTGCACATCAAAAGCTATGGAATTACATTAGTTCTACCAACAATGAACACTGACAACAAAATATGGTGTCTTCATTTAGTGCCTATCTACAAGACAAAAGCAATTGCAATTTACATGCAACCTTCATACAAGCTACATCTTGCATACTGCATTCACACTCAATTAAATCATATCTCATCCAAAGCCCTATTTCAGATAGGACTTTATGCCATCCACAACAGACGCTAGTACTCCCACAAATCTTTAAATGCTAGATTCAAACAAATTAATTTTTGCCATCTGTCATGGATATCAAAATGCTATATATATCATACAAGAAAGGGCACTGTGACCACTAACATTAAACCCATACCAACCCACTGGATGCACGTGCCATGCTATCAACACCTAGCCCAAAATCCAGCCAATAAGCTTACTTGAATAGTGACTCTCCTGGGTGTATGGCTTGTAGCCCACACAAATATTCATGTACAGCATCAAGACTCCATGCCTACCCTTTGCAATGTTATTTCTTTTCCTGAATATGTATTTTCTTCTCTTTCCATTTTCCAGGGACAGGTGACGTGAAGATACCGTCATAGGAAAATATGGCTGTGGGCCCGGGCGATGCTAACTTGCCATCATGAGAATTTCAACTGAAGGCCAGGGTGATGGGAAAGACTCAACACAAGTGCGTAAGGCTGTTGGAGAGTGATTAGACTCATTTGGGTTTTAGGAGGGGGCTTTTCCATTATTTCTATTTATAAATGTGTGAGGAATCTACTGACTGGAAAATCACTGGCTTAGGATCCCATTCCATCACCAGCCACACAGGTTGTACTAAAGAAAATTGTATAAAAGAAAATACAACTGCTGGAGAGGAGAACTGATAGGGATCTCTGTCCCCCAACATCACCCAAGAAACATTATCCTTATTTCAGTATACACAACGAGATAGATCTGAAAGTTTGAAGCACCAAGTAGACTTAGGCTGTAAGCAGGACTTTCTGGGACCTATTTGTTTATTTGTAGTATAACCATTCATGTTGGCAGATTACTTCTTGTACCAACGACTGCAGCATTTAGTTCTCTACAAAAATACCATCTTCAATTTGCCCTAGCTTTGTGCTTCCATAACAAAGATTAACCAATGCTACTTACTGTTATTATTATTGTACTGAGTTAAGAACTACCAAGAGAGAGATGGAGTTTGCGCTAGGAAAACAGTCTATTACCATCTAGATATAGCAAATCAAATGACAAATATTAACAATGGAACATGGCAAAAAACTAAAAACAGTTGTGCAGAAAAAGAGAAATAACATCCCAAAAGAAAGGTATAGTCTTGTCACTGTACATGAGTGTTCAATTGTATTCAGTCTACAATCCACAGAACTATAAGAGTGGCCACTCAAGTCAGCTTAATGCCAGTATTTTGGCCCATGTGATGGCAGTGAAGCATCCAGATCCATTGGGTTAAAAACATCTAAAGCTGGCCAAAGCTTCCTCTATACTTCTCTCTCCATGAACAATAATAAACAAAAATTAAAATATTGAAAAGGCAGCTATAAATAGTGTTTTACAATATCTAGTCTGTTCTGGATGCTAATGGTAATCTGAAAGCAAAATGATGAGCTGTTCAAAGGGCACACTAAATAATTAATACATCTGAAATTGACTTCAAACAAAGTTCATTTAAAATCCCTGATTCCCAAGACCTCTTTCATCCTTCCACACACCCAACTCCCATTAAAGACCGTGTCACACTAGCACTTTTCCGTCAATTTTTTGACAATTTTATTTAACATAAATACAAACGTTCTCGAATATAGCTCTTGATCTGACTATGCTTGGCTTAAAAAGTTGACGGAAAGTTTTTCAGATGGAAACGATCATTATCGTCTGACTGGAGAATCGACAATTCGCTCAAAATAAACAAAATTTCAGAAAATTGTCAAAACATTGACGGAAAAAGTGCTAGTGTGACAGCACCTTGATTCACTCAACCCAGGTAAAAAAAAGTTTGGTAAATAGACATGATTGCAGGGTTGTTAACGGGCATCAGCAGTTTCCCATTTGCACCCGGCTCATTCGGTAGTTTGCAAGTGACATTTGGCATCTAAAAGCTTTTATTTTGCTATAATTTTTAATAATATTATAAATCTGAAGGATTACCTTCAGCTAGCTAACAAGCACTCATATGATCTCGAGTAGCTTTATTGATAATCATTATCTCAGTGGATATAAATCATTATAGTGTTTGTTAATACAAATAATCTATAACTGGCTATACAGAAATAAAGAAAAAACTAATGTAGTATTCAGAAAGAACAAACCAGACTTTTCCACACAAAAACATAATCAGCATGAAGTGCACAATCCTACAATAGATTATCAAAGGCCATGGGTCTAAACATCAAGACAGTTTTCTCAGATATATACAGTTAAACATTAAAGTCCTTCTAACTATAACCATCCCTTCCCTCCCTGTTTCCCTCCTGGCTCCAGAAACATAACTTTTTCTGTATTAATTTGTTAAGAATCAGATGTACTATGCATCATTAAAGCTAGCCCCCACTGCCTCCCACTTCCCTTTGGACCTCTTTAACCAAGTCAAGAGAACACTCATTTCCTTATGATTTTATCTGTTTTTTCCAACGACTATTTAATTCACAGTGGCTTTCAAACTTTTTCCTGTAATAACATTGGCTGTGTCCTTTTTACTTTCACTTGATCCCTGTAATGAATTTTGATAGAAGGCCTGCAGCAGTGTGGTGTCAGGCAATTACATAGTATCAAACAATCGCTAGTCTCTGTGACTCTAGTATCATAGTAAAAGACACCATCTACTTCATACATATTCTACAAAGAGCTTAAACTGGTTCCAATTTGATGATAAACAGCTAACATGGATTACAAATTCCATCTTCCAAAATCATATGTATGGTTGGTTACACTTTCCCAGAGAGCCACCAGGCAGGGAGGCTGCTCCCATAAGTATAAGGCCTGTAGTGGATGTGTGCATATCTTCTAAGCAGGAAGTGCAATCTTTTGGAGTACAGTGAAGTTCATGTAGCATTAGCTGAGGTAAGGTAACGACTAAGAACATACGATTATTTGGCTACATTACACTTGGGTGTGTTAAAGCTTAGCATAAGTTTGGTTACATGCAGGACTATGGACTGTATAGTGATCATCTGGCTCACTTCGAATGAAAATCATTCTGGCTAAGCTTTAATACCTGGAGGGCATAGGAGAAGTGTGCCTAATGGAAACAGAACTGCCAAAATTCGACCTAAAACCCCGAAGAAACTCCAGAGGTGAAAAAATCCGAGGCAGTCACACCCTACTACACACGCCGCCCCTTGCGTTTCCCATTCACAGTCTTGGCTCCCAAACCCACGTTAGAAAGACCTAAAATAATGTCATACCTTCGACAAATCATTCCTCATATTAATAGAATCGTTATAACTCCTCCATAACATCCGATTTGCTGTTAAAATGCCTCCAAAAACCGACGTCATCAGCTGCCTGCGAGGTAATCTCTCTTTTGCAGGCTGGAATTCAAGATTTATTCCCTCCTTTGACCCTAACCAGGAACCTCCATCTCTTTCTCGGTTCCTAATCCAGCTAAAACCCCGCTAAAGAGATAAATAAACCCCGAACTCTCTCCCATAAGAGTGCAAATCTGTCATACTTTCCCAGCTCGAAACACTGTAAATAAATGCCATTTTGACACAGCTTTTTCTCCGTTCCTTCCTCTCCCTTCGTCCCTCTCTATCTCCCTCCTCCACCGCGTTATCAAAGATAACTTACCTTTTTTATCTCCAAAACGCCAGCACCGTCTGCTTTTAAAAGATCAAGAGAGAATTTAGGGAGTGTCAAATAAGTGTTGTTGGGCGAACCCTTCCTTCGCATTCACTATCATTCACTGACACCGTCTCAAGGTCCGGGTTGCTTTGTGGAGAAATATTACGGCAAATCTTTTAAATTCAATCATTAACCCATATCTTTAATCATTATTGTTGTACTATAGTATTTATACTCTGTTGGATACAGTTATTTAAGCTGTGAGATAATTCTAATAACTATCAGGAATATTGTATCTCCGTACTGCAATGCGACCCCAAAGGAATTTCTCATCGCAAAAATGGCGAATGACGTCAAGAGCGGGTTATTTAAAGAGAATATTGAACTGTCACAGATAGGAATCCTTATATATATTGCCTAATATTCATCTATGATATCAGATGAATGGAAAGTGAAGGATACACACAGTGAT